CGGCCACTACGACCACCGCCGCCACGCCGACGGCCACCACCACGCCCACGATGAGGCCCACGTCGTCACCGCCGCTGCCGCCGCCGCCATCGCGTCCGCCCGAAGAGCCCAGCAGCACGCCCAGCCCGATGCTCGGGTCGTAGAACAGCGATCGGTTGAAGGCCGGGAGGGCCAGCACTAGCTCGTAGTGGTCGCCGTCGCTGTCGCTCGCCACGTCGACGGCGTGCACAATGGGCACGAAGGCCGCGTCGTCCACGAGCGCCACGTCGAACACCTCCACCACCATCACCACCACACGTGAAGTGGACGATGATGACGTGGCGGCTGACGGCACGGCGAGGTAGTACGAGGTCATGTTGGCCCGCGGCGTGTTGTCCGCGCGCCGCACCACGGCCAGCTGGCCCGGCGAGCCCGTGGCGCTGGCGTTGGAGAGATCGGAGAGTCGGTACCGCAGCGTGATGCCCTGCGTCGCTGCGGCGTCGGAGGTGAAGTTGAGGGACCACTTGATCGAGCCGGCGGCGATGACGAACTCCAGGCCGGAGAAGCTGGCCGACGAGGCGTTGGCGCTGAAGGCGAACTCCTGCGTGGCGTTGGTGTCGGCGTCCAGCTGCGCTTCGTACCTCCTCCCCGCCCCACTGCCAGAACCGTTGCTGGCCGCCCACGTGATTCCTGTAATACAGCACAATGTGAGCGCCATGACACGAGGCGACACGACACGACACGCACGGCGCACGACATGCGAGACGACACACGCAAACATTGAAGAGAGAAGGCGCCGAACCTGGGACTGTGGTGTTGCCCAGCTGGACCAGCTGCAGGCTCGACCTAACGGCTACCGACGACGCATTGGAGGCTGACGTGGCGGGCGCGGAGAGGTCGACCGTGGGCTCCGAATCGCCGAAGCTCGCGCTCGCGTTGGCCGCCAGCGGCGACACCGCCGGCATCACCGTCGGCGACGCCGACACCAACCTGGTAGGCGAGGCCGATCTGGGAGAGGTGGGCGAAGCCGATTTGGAGGGTGTCGGTGTCGTGGATGGCGATGGCGATGGCGATGGCGATGGCGATGGCGATGGCGATGGCACGTAGAGGCCGCACGTGTAGTCGTTGCCGCCGTAGATCTGCACGAATTGGAGGCCCGCCGGCGGGGTCTTGGCGTCCGGCGTGCCGCTACCCCAGCACTGCACCGTGCCGTCGGCCATGAGGCCGCACACGTGTGTCGAGCCGCACGCGATGGCGTCGAAGCGGGTCGTGTTCGGCGTGCCCGCAATGTAGGCGGCGGTGCCCCAGCACCGCGGGAAACCGGTCGACAAGGTCAGGCCGCAGGCCATGTCCGCGCCGGCGCACAGAGCCCTGAAGGTCTCGGCGGGCGGCGATGTTCCGCCTCCGGTCGCCCGGCCCCAGCACTGGGCCTGGCCCGAGGCTGTCAGGGCGCACGCGTGCGCATAGCCGGTCACCACCTGCGTGAACCCGTCTCCGCTGGCCCTGCTCGAGGTCTGGAGGTGGTCGTTCCTGCCCCAGCAGGTGATGACGCCGTCGCTGGAGAGCGCGCACCCAAAGTCGGTGCGCATGGCCAGCGCGGCGAAGGGCATGTCGGTGGGCACGGCCGTGCGGTTGTCGGCGTTGGTTCCATAGCAACGCGCGGTGCCGTCGGCCGACAAGAGGCCGCACGAGACGGTGAACCCGGCCGAGAGCCAGGCGAACTCGAGGCCTGACGTGCTCGCGTTCTGCTGGCCTTCGCTGTTTTGGCCCCAGCACTGGGCCGAGTTGGCGGCGGTGAGGCCGCACACGTGGAAGTTGCCCAGGGCCAGCTGGGCGAAGGAGTCGGAGGGGGCGGGGGTGGGGGCGGCGCCCCAGCAGGCGAAGGGGTGGGCCGAGGCGAGCGGCGTCGGGGCTTGTGCATCAACGACTCCGGCGAAGGCGAAAGAAAGAAGAAGAACGAAGGCGACGACCGAGCGGCACACTGAGAAGAGCGCCATGACGAAGCTTACGGCTCAGGGGAGAGATGGCAGGAGGAGGAGTGTGTTGCGCAAGGTACGGAGTGTGCGGGGCCAAAAGATGCTTATTCAGTCTTCGGTAGCAAGGCTGTGGGCTCTTACACCCACACGCGATTGGGCGCGCTTAGGAGTTCGAGGAAGTTGGGGTAATAACTTATTGGCGCCAACTATTTTAGATGGGGCCCGGGAGACCTCCAGAAGACCTGCAAGCGCCTGTGGGAAAGCCCCAGGGTGAAGAAGGTTGTACACTCAGTGCAGCCACTCATAAGACACGTGTTTTAATAAACAGATAAGCCGGCAAAAAAAGAGTAGGATGGCGCCAATGGGAATCGAACCCATGATCTCTCCCTTACTAGGGGAGCGCGGTGCCGACTGCGCCATGGCGCCCCAGTCCTGCTCCACGTACCGTCAACATTTGTGCCCAACCGATCAAACAAAGTACTAAATAAAGTTCAACAAATTTACATATCTGGTGCGCCTCGAGCAGTCACTGCTGGCCCACTGCCTGGCTCAGCTGGTCGTCGGTGTCCTCCGTCCCCGCGTGAAGGGCGGATGCCGCCAGATCGTCGTCGTCCGCGTCCGTGCCATCCTGTCACACAAAAAAAAAGGAGCGTGAATTGGAAAAAACAGGCAGTGTGGAAGGGGTGTGGCGTGGCGTACGTCGAAGGAAAGTGGGGTGGTGAGACAGTAGCAGGAGTCCTGCATCTCCATGACCACCATCTCGCAGTTCTTGAAGTTGCTTATTCGCTCGAACTTGTTGACCGAGTACTTGTAGTACCGCATGAGGAAGAGGCGAATAAACAGACCTGGCGCACGAACGCACCCACAGTTAGGGTGAAACACTCCTGAAATAAATAAATAAATTAAATAAATTAAATAAAAATAAAAATATGCACCAACCCGCACACGACACGCACGACGGGACGGAGATACCGTGTGTGACGATCACAAAGTTTTGACTGACGTCGCGGTGCTCAAAGTTGCGAAACAGAGTCTCCAAGAACCCCGATACCTAGAGTGTTGAGATATTGGCGTTAGCAAGCACCAACACACGCCACACACGCACACACGCACACACGACACACACACGACACAAAGAACAAAAAAAAAGTAGGAGGGCTGATCACCCGGTCATAAACGTCGGCCCCCGATTCGCCGGACGGGAAGCGGTAAAAGAACCGGCCCACCAGGTTTCGCTCCTTGAAGGCGTTCGGCATGTGCGTCGGGTCCTGGAAGTTGCCCCACTCTTTTCGGTGCGCGCGCGCGCAATGCTCCAAGGGTCAGGCGGGGTGCTCCATCAGATCTGGAGAATTCCAAGGAGGCGGAGCGCAGTGCCTTGTTCTCGAATGCGGGGCTCTTCGATGGCCTTCCAGGTGCCTGGCGCGAGATGAGCCACGATCTCTCTAAACGTCTGCGTAACGACGAGAAACACGGCGGACGTGAGCCCTGCATGCTGACACGTGCGTGTGCGTGTGCGTGTTGCGTGTCATGATTGTGGAGCCCAACCTGGCGTGTGCGGCGGAAGGGGGAGACGAAAAAGGTGACGCTCTCGTTGCCCACCAGCTGCGCGAGCTTGCGCCCGGCCTCGCTCGCCTGCTGCTTGCCCTTGTCCGTGAGCGGAATGCGGTTGTCTGCGCACACATTGCAATTAAATAAAAAAATGAACAACAACACCCACACACAAGCCAGCGTTGCGCACCTGCTACTCGCGCGTAGACGGTATCATCGACATTGGCCTGCGTCGCGTGCGTGAGTGCGTGAGTGCCGTGTGTGCGGTCGTCACGCACGCATAGGTGGGGGGGGGCAGTGAGTACGAGGGACTCGCCGTGGCGGATGAGGATGAGGCGGCGTGGTCGTCGGGCCTTGTTGTAGCGCTCCAGCTCCACCCCCGCCTTATGCCACATAAACGCCCACACCTTGGGGGGGCCAGCAAACAACAAGCGATGCAGGATTTGATTGTGATTTGTCGTCTCCGGCCTTGTGCAGACGCGATGCAAGGGAAGTGGGTACCTGGTCGTGGAAGCAGACGTAAAGGACCAGAGAGATGAACAATGCCGAGCATAGAGCAATCACTGCACCCACTAGCCCGGCCAAATACAGGGGTGCCATCGTTTGCTCCCTCCTCTGTGCAAAATAAGTGAAGTGGCCAAAACCAAGAACGTGTGAGGTGAGTGGCGGGAAAAGAAAAAGTTATGAGGACGACGTGACTTGAACACGCAACCTTCTGATCTGGAGTCAGACGCTCTACCAATTGAACTACGCCCCCGTAGTGTTTGGAGCCCTTTTTGTTCTACAATTTATTTGAACTAACAATGGACAGAAATGTCAGGTCTTCCTACATTCCTCACTGCCCTCCCCTCTTCACCCTCATCAGAGTAGTTGCTGCGGTTGCTTTTGTTGAAGACTTGCACCATGGAGACTAAGCCTGTGGCCAGATCTGCATCCCCTTTTTTTTCCTCACCAAATGTGTGGCTCTATATCTTTTAGTTGAGTTGCTGGTGTGTGGGGGTTGGTTTCTCATTTTTCTTTGCCACCACCAACACCACCTCACCTCTACCCTCTCTTTCAACACTGCACACACCACCAAACCTCACCAACAGACTGGCTAACCATGTGGTGTGAAGGTGTGGCTCACAGAGGCAAGTGGGCCAGGTGGCAGCCAGGGTATCCATTCCACACAAGGCTGGGTACATCCTTGTGTCTTTCTGCCTCCCTTTCCCTATCCCCTCTTTACTCCCCACCAGTTCACTGGCATGGTGCAGCCATGGCAGTTCATATTGTTGGCATGTGTGTTGGTAATGGGGGGGCTCCTCCCTCCCAAGGGATCACCACATGTGGGGTGGTTGCTGTCAGGGCAGGACACCAGTGACAGTTAAATCACTAATACATCCATGCTGGTCATGGTGTTGAGGGCATTACTGTCACCACAGCAGCTCATATTGTTGGCATGTGTGTTGGTAATGGGAGGGGCTCCTCCCTCCCAAGGGATCACCACATGTGGGGTGATTGCTGTCAGGGCAGGACACCAGTGGCTCAAGAGCCAGCACACCTGTGCTGCTTGAGCAGCACATGTGTGTGGGGCAATTGCCACCAGGGAGGCAGTTGGCCAGGCCAGGTCTCCCAGGTTCTGTAAAGCATGGAGGACTGGGGTAAAGTGTTTGAAGTCTTACACAAGGGCTCCCACCATTACACTGACCTCAAGAACAAGAACCAACAACTTGCACTCATTTGAAATTAGAGGTCACAAATGACTGTGGCAAATTTTGTTGTGCTAGAAAATTTACACAATTATTTTCTAAATAATTATTAGAAAAATTAGCACAAAATTTCATGAACACTTGGTTGGGTGCTTTTCCAGCATCAACCCCACCATGAAGAAGGAGCCAGAACCAATTGGGAAGAAAAGAAATCAGTGCTTCCACATACTATGTGTTATATAACACGGGGGGCGTAGTTCAATTGGTAGAGCGTCTGACTCCAGATCAGAAGGTTGCGTGTTCAAGTCACGTCGTCCTCATAACTTTTTCTTTTCCTGTCGTAAGCCATCTGAAGGCGAAGTGTGAGCAAGGAACGTGGAGGTCGCTGTCTTGCCTGCAGCTCACTCCTCTCCAAGTGCACTTGCCCTTGTGTTGAGATGCCAGTGGGCCAGAACGGACTTAGCACACAGCTCTTCCGGCCAAATCGCCCAGAAATACCCACCTTATTTCTCCCTATTCACTGATGGCCCCTCAACTCAGTTCTCGAACGTTTGCCCCTCTCTTCACCCTCTTGTACATACTCAACAAACACCAAACTACATACTTGACCTCAAACCCAACCCCATATCATCAACTTTGCCAATGTCCAACCACAAGATCTCAGTCACCAGTGTGTACCTCCTCTTTTACTTATTTTTTCCTCCAATATGAACACTGTATGTGCGGGGGGGGGGATAACACGTTGTGGACAGTCGACGCCGCGCGCGGACTGCGAGCCGCGGACGTGACAGGCACCAGCGACCCCTTTGCCGAGGTCTACATCGGCGATCACCGCGGCAAGCGCCGGATGCGCGGGCACGTCCAGAAGACCGCCACCGTCAAGCACACCCTGAACCCGCGCTGGTCAGTCAGCTCTCCCCCTTAGCGACTGTGATTTCTTGTGTGCGGTCGTGTGTGGTGGTGCGTGAGTGTGTGCGTGGGCTGAAAGTTGTTTTTTCTTCTGCGCTACTCAGGAATGAGACATTCACCTTCACCGTGAACGACCGGGAGGTGTCGTCGAGCTCGCTCGTGGTCAAGCTCCTGGACTGGGACCGCTTCACCCGCAACGACAAGCTCGGCTACTTCGTGACCTCCGTGGCCAAGTACTCCCCACTTCTTATTATATTTTTATTTTATTTTATTTTATTTTATTTTTTTCAGAAATTCATTTAATTGTTATTGCTGTATTCTTATTTTTAAATTACTTTTCATGTCTGCAAATTGTATCATGATATTGTTAACACGATCGATTCGTCTAGGGTGATGGCGACGCCCTACCAGGACAACTGGTTCCCACTTGTCAAGAACCTCCGTAGCAACCTGCCCGAACAGGGCCAACTCCACCTCATCATCTCCGTCGACGGTACGATTGCACGCGCTGCGCACCCAACACACCGCACACGACTAAACTACACGACACGACCAACGACACGACACGACACACATTACGCTGATTGATCTCTCAAAAGGTAAGGGACCCTCGGCCAAGCCCGCCGCGCAGGCGCCGGCCCAGCCGATCGGGGCAGCCGCGCCCTACCAACCGCCGTACGGCGCGCAGCCGGCCTACATGGGCGGCGGCCAGCAGCAGCCACCCTACATGGGCGGAGGTCAGCAGCAGCCACCCTACATGGGCGGCGGCCAGCCCATGATGCAGCCCCCCATGCAGCAGCAGCCGCAGGCCGACAAGTACCCGGGCCTGGGCACTGCGGGCTCGTCCTTCGCTGCGCCGTCGCCGGCCCAGGCCTATCCTCCACCCGCCGGCATGCCCGGCTACCAGCAACCGCCCCAGCAGCCGATGGCCCAGGCCCCGGGGCGGTACGGAGGTCAACCTCCAATGGGCGGCGCCCCAGGTGCGCCTCCTTGAGTCTTGGTTGGCCGTCAGTTTAAAGCTCGGTTGTGGTTGATTGGTCGTTTCTCACATGTTGTTATATCTTTGTACGAATGATGTTAATGTTGTGCTGTGTTGGGTGGTGGTGCGTCGGCAGGTTACGCGCAATCGGGGGCCTACCCTGTGGGCCAGCAGCAGCAACCGCCTGCGGCAGGCTATCCTCCGCAGGCGGCGGCGCCCCCCTTCGGCCTCCAGCCCCAGAACGTCGCGCAGACCGGCCTGGCCGTGCCCGCGGCCTACATTCCCTCCGTTCGCCCTCCGCAGTAGACCGTCGTCGGCGTCAGCATCAAAGTCGATGTATATATCTGTAAATAAACAAACAATTACCGAAAACACAATAAGTTGTGTTGTCATCGTCGGCAGGAACACTTGAAGGTGGTGTGGGGGGGATACCATAAGAACGTCGGTTGGTTGGTCTGTTCAGGCCGAGGACGAGCGATGAAGATTAGAGCGATCGGCGGCGGCGGCGAAGCGATGCGTGGACGAGAGGTGCTCGGCCGAAGCCGACGACGGGATCGGCATGGCCGCCGTCTCCGCGCGGAGCTGCTTGATCTGCTGGTGCTGGCGCTGCGGGTGGTCGGTCTGGCCCGGGGTGGCCGCCCCGGCGGAGTTGGTAGTGGTCGTCGGCTCGGTTGTCGCGTTCTGGGCAGCCGGCACCGCGTCGAACCCGTCGTCCGACGGCGGTGAGAACTCGGGCGACGACGGCGTCGACTCTGATGATGAAGACGATGGTGGTGTCGACACGGGGTACTTGTGTGTCCAGGTGGCGATGATGGTGGCGAGCTGCTCCTTGCTGAAGGGCTTGGAGAGCCAGCCGTCCATGCCACACGCGGTGCAGCGCTCCTGGTACTCGGAGGTGGTCGATGCCGTGAGGGTGACGATCGGGGTGCGCGGGCGCTTCTCGGCCCGCTCTCGCTCGCGGATGCGGGTCGAGGCGATGAAGCCGTCCATGACCGGCATCTGCAGGTCCATCAGCACCACGTCAAAGGCCTCGGCGCCGGCGTTGGCGCGCTGGGCCATGAGGTCGAGCCCGATCTGGCCGTTGCTGGCGATGGCCACCTCGCAGCCGAGTGACGTCAGCATGAGCTTGGCCACCTTCTGGTTGACCATGTTGTCTTCGACCAGCAGCACGCGCGTGCCCTGCAGCCCCTGGTACAGCTCCTGCAGCTTCTTCTGCTCCTTGTCGACAGCCCTGTCGCCGCTTCTGGTCGATGACGTCACGATCACGCTCCCGCCGCGGCGCTCGGTCGCCGCCGCCCTCTCGCTTGCGGGGGCCGAGGTGGCCGTGGCGGTGGTGTTGGCCATCAGTTCGTCTTGGCTCATCGCCCTCACCGGCGCCGCGCCCGACAACGTCGTCGAAGCCAAGACTTCCTTCGTCGCGCCGGCCTGGTCGCCGCTGCCGTTGTTGTACAGATCCAACTCGGGCGCCGCCTGGCAAGCCTCGTTGTTGTCGCGGTTGTCGTCGCGGTTGTTGTCGACGTTGTCGTTGCTGTGTCGGCGGCGGCTGCGGCTGCTGCTAGGGGCCGAAGCGACGCTGCTGCTGTGGTCGTGGCCCTGGGGCTGCGCCTGGCTCTTGAGGGAGTTGGCGCGCTGGCGACGCGGCCTGCTGGTCTGCTGCGGTAGTGACTGGGTGTTGGGCCTCCGCTTGCGCGGCGACGAAGATGAAGAAGACGATGACGATGACGATGACGATGAAGTGCTGGCGAGCGAGTGTCGACGCGCCCAGCGGCGGTCAGCGCTGGCCAGGAGGGCGTCCTTGTCGTCAAAGACGACGGGCTCGGCGCCCTCGGACTTGCGGCGGAGGCTGAGCGAGTCGGCGGACTTGGACCGCACGTACTCCTGGGCCGCCTCCTCGTGCATGGGAATGTCGACCGCGAAGCTGAACGTCGAGCCCTTGCCCACCTTCGACTGACACTCGATGTAACCTGATCAGACACACCCACACGGTCATGTCAGCTCTCAGTGTGCGGTGCGTGCGATGCGCGTGTGCGGAGTGTGCGGTGAGTTACCGTTCATGGCCTCGCACAGGAGCTTGCTGACGGCCAGGCTGAGTCCGGGACCGCCCGGCAGGGGAGTCGACTCATCCAGATGAGGCAGCTGTCGGGGCCAAGACAAAGCGTTAGTGTGTGTGCGTGCGTGAGTGCGTGTGTCGTGTGTGTGTCGTGTACCTCGAAGAGGTGGGGGATGAGGTCGCTGGAGATGCCGACGCCAGTGTCCTCGACGCGGACTTCGATGCGGTTGCAGTTCAGGCGGGTGTTGGTGAGGTACAGGCGCACGCAGCCCTTCTCCGGGCTGTACTTGATCGCGTTGGAGGCGACGTTGAACAGCACCTGGCGGAAGCGCTTGGGGTCGCCGAAGCGCTGCGGGTAGCGCACGTCGATGGTGCTCTCCAGCGTAATCTGTTTCTTGAAGGCCGATGGCTTCAGAATGCTCAGCACCTGGTTGAACTGTACACCACCGCATCATCAGCCAAATGTACAAATACTTATTTTTGAATTTTTGTCATAAAAAAACAAAAATAAGAATAAGAATGTAAAGCATGTGGTCGAGTAGTACCTCGTCGACGATGGAGAAGAGGGTGTTCTGGAGGCGGAGCTGGGAGGTGCTGATGGCGGGGAAATCGAGCAGGTTGTCCATGATGCAGAGCATGACATGACCCGAGTCCACGATGCGCCGCACGCACTCCTTTTCAATCCACAGCCGACTGGGCAGCGAGTCGACCACCTGGGCCGCCAGTGAGAGGATGCCGTGTAGCGGCGCCTTGATCTCCTGGCCGATGTGGGCCAGCAGCTGGGCCTTGGGGTCGGCAGCAGCCGAAGCTGCAACGGACGACGACGCTAACTGGTCGAGTTGAAGCTTGGGCGTGGTCGGTCGCGGCGGCGAGTAGAGGACAAGCGCGATCACGCCCACGGCCAACAGGCTCAGCCCGCAGCAAACGAGCTTGGTCCCGGGCGTCAGCTCTGGAATGCCAACAATTGAAGAGTGAGTGTGCGCCAAGTGGGGCTGGCTGTGATTGTAGAGCGATGATGAGGATGAGGAATGAACGAACCGATGGTGTGGCCTACTGCAGTTGAGGCGGAAGAACATGTTGAAGACGAAGAGGCTCCGGTGGCGGAGGCGGTGATAAAGTGAACGACGAAGCCCTGGAGGAAGAGGCCGCACACCGCGGCGAAGGCGCACCGGGGAGCGCCGACAAGGAAGAGGAGAACCGGTACCCAGGCCAGCCTGCAGAACACGAAGGTGGTGTAAGGTACCCACACCAGTACTAGTGCTTTGATGTCGACAATCACGTGGATGTTCTGCAGAACACAAAGCAAATCGGAAGAAAAGGGGCCGCAACGGATTTAAAACGGAGTATGTAGTAGTAGTGATGACAACAATACTGATGGTGATCGAGCACGCCCACGGCACCAGTGCAACAATACAGCCAACATTGAATTTGCGTAAAAATGGGCCAGGAGAGAAAAGGCAGATTTTAACGGTGAACCACAGCGAAAACACCAACCTCAGCCAACCTTTGCAGGACAAGGAACAACAGAGTAACAACTCTGCGATCCACAACAAGGCAAAGGGGGGAGAGAGATAACAAACAAACAAACAACTGAAGAAACAGATAAAAAGAATAAAAGAACACTTATCTCCACAGTGGTTAGGTTGGGTGTGATGAGTACCAGGTGAAAAACTCCGAGGCGATGCCGTAGTTGAGCGCCAGTGTCAGCGCCAGGACGTCGATATGGAAGGCGAAGGCCAACACGCTGGGCCACACCCGCCGTGTGCAGGCGAGGAAGCCCAGCGTGCTGACCGACACCGCAGTCGACGCCAGCAGGAGCACCACCGCCAGCGACAGTGGTGAGGCCGCAGACCTGGCTGAAGATGGAGATGATGACGATGATGTTGATGACAGTTCGATCGAGAGGAGCAGCGAGGCGTGTTGGAGGGTCGAGAGGGTGATGGCACACCCGACCACGGCCCGCTTCATGCACTCGGGCAGCCGGAGCGGGGGGAGGGACGGGGCCGAGTAGTAGTAGGGGCTGGCGTCGTCTGGCAAGAGAAAGCTCGAAAGGGAAGAAGTAGAAGAAGAGAAAGTAGAAGTAGTAGAAGAAGAGGAAGAGTCGTGGCGCGATGCTATCGGTGGAGACTTCATGACGACGAGGGGTGTGATGTGTTGAGGAAGAACGGAAGGAAGTGTTGAGGAGGAAAGTGTATTACCACTTGTTGATGCTGATGATGATGGGCGCTTTGGTCGTCTCTCAGTCTTGGAGGCTCGATGCGAAGTCGTGAAGGCAGAAGCTTGAAACTAATGGGCGCGGCTCGATGTTGTTTGTGGCGACTCCACTCTCGTCGTACCGGAGGAGCACGAAAGCAGCTGTCCCTCGGCCTCAATCACTGCGTGCCGCGGTGCGTGCGGTGCGCCTCGGGCGTGCCAGTTGCGTTACATCGCCGAGAGTGGCGTGACGTCCGGGCCGCGAAGGTGACCTCGGACACCTCAGCTGCACTCTTTCTCGCGGTGGTAGAACTGAAATTTCGGCTCGCGAACCACCACTGTTGCAATTGGACGTCGTTTCGCACACATGCCACGCATTCCTTTCCAGTTCGGTGCAGATTGGCTGCCACTTGTTTTGTCCGCCCATTCCGTTGGCTGCTGGCGCTCACTTGTGGAGCGTGGGTGTGGGCCACCGGTGATCCCGTTCACGCAAGGCAACCTGCAGGACGTGGAAAGGCTGCAGGGAGTGACAGGACCCGGAGGCGCCATCACAGGCCATCCGATGACTCACCAATCGTGCCATCTGACCAGCACACTATTGAATTTGACTCTTTATGGCACAAGTGTGCAACGGTGGTGCATGCCCACGCAAGATAGGTTCTCTATGCATTCTAGAGGCTTCGGCTCACAAGAGGGAGCTTTCTGAGACTTGGGCTCAGTCAGTGCGCCTCACACAGACTGTGGCACGCACGACTTGTGATATGTGCGCACACGCACGCCTGCTGCTTCCCTTTTCCGCTCTCAAGGCCAATGGTTCCGCAGCGGTTCCGTCGGTGTTAGCGGCTGGGCGGCAAGTGAGAGAAAATTGGCTCATCATCTGTTGAGTTCAGCCGGTTGCGCACCAGCATGATGTTTGGGCCCACGTCGAGATGAAGTGTAACGACCTGCTTTTGTTTCGTGTGGACTCTGCCCGGGTTGCATCGAGTGAAGCTGTAGCGTCGACACCAGTTCATCTGTTCCTCGTCATTTTCCTGAGGTACTCAAATCAAATTCTCGTAACAACGAAGAACGAGCGCGCGTGTCGTGCCGTGTCGTGTCGTGTCGTGCTGTGCTACGGCGCTCTACACGGAGATGGAGGTGAAGATGAAGATAGAGAATAAGTTGAAGGTGTGGACGGAAAGAAGGTGTTGTGGTGTGTAGAAATACAGTGGTGTATATGTACACGTGTGGCACACGTGTGCGGAGCCAGCTCAGAGTTTGTTATTTGTTCTTGCGATCGAGAAGGATGGCCACGAGGTTGCGGTCGTAGTGGGTGATGCTCTTCACCGAGAGCACGCCCAGGTAGAGCGTGTACAGCTCGTAGCACCGCAGCCCGCTCCGCGACGGAAAGATGTGCTCCACCAGCTTCTTGTAATACTTGTGCGTCTGCGGCCCTCTGCACACACCAACCCCCGCGCCCGCGCGCCTCAAGGTCAGCTACACGACCGTGAAAGGGTGGCGATGATGGTGGCGATGATGGTGGGGGAGAAAGCGCACCTCTGCGCAATGAAGGGTTGGTCGTGGTTGAAGGGCAGTTCAAAGCCCTCCATGTCCTCCACCCACAGCCGGTACGAGTACTGGAACGCGCCCGACTTCATCGTCATGGCGTGGTGACCCTCCGACAGATGCTGCTGCGCCTGCACCGCCGGCCACAACCACAACCACAACCAACAACCAACAACGAACATCAACCGTGGTTAGTAGCAACAACTGGAGGTGCGAGCAGCGCGAGCTGCCAGAAGAAGGGGTCGTGGGTTCGAACCCGATAGCACATGTCCCACACTTTGGAGCGGAGGATGAGCTTCATGCGCAGGGCCTCCTCCGGCTTGGGCGAGTACACCGGCCCGTGCACGGCCGTGATGGGCGGGGCGATCACCCTGTCCGTGCGTGCACAAACCGCCACGATCAAGTGTCAGCCAAGACGCAGATCAGCCAGCCCAGCTCGCCATTGACTTGCGAGCTAGGTGGTGGTGGGAGGGGGGTGGGAGGCGTGAATTACCGATTGAAGGTTCGGTCGACAAAGATGAAGTGGATGAGGCCCGGGAACTGGTGGAGGAAGGAGAGCACGGGCAGGTGGGTGTGCTCCTTGGTGATCAGGTACGTGGCGTAGTTGCGGATCATGCCCCGCAGCTGGTCCCTTATCTCGTCCAGCCGGTCCCTCTCCGCCGGCTGGCCCTGCTCAGCCACCGACACGACACGACCGTCAATCGACCCAATCAGCGACCCACCAAGAGCCCGGCTTACCTTGGCGCCGCTGGACGGGTGATTGGAGGTGATGATGACGAGCGTAGTCATTCGCTCCAGTTCGGCGTAGTAGACCCATCGCGGTGTGTACTTGGGCGTTCTATTGATACACGCGTGAGCAAGTCTTACGGGACGGTGCGTGGTGCGTGGTGCGTGGTGCGTGGTGCGTGGTGCGTGGTGCGTGGTGCGTGGTGCGTGGTGCGTGGTGCGTGGTGCGTGGTGCGTGGTGCGTGGTGCGTGGTGCGTGGTGCGTGGTGCGTGGTGCGTGGTGCGTGGTGCGTGGTGCGTGGACACGAACCGGAGGTGCAGCAGCTTGTACGACGTGGAGTTCTCCGGGTCGAACGGCTGTCGCAGGTTGTAGTCCAGCTCCGGGAACGGGTGATCAAAGTCGACGTCATCGAGCGAGAGGCCCAGGTCCTCGCTCGACTCACCGACGGTGGCCCGCTCCCGCTTGTGCTGCGCGTCGGCGCCGCTGGTTTCGGAGTCGCCCGCCTGCGAAGGTCCGCCCTGCGCGCGCCGCTCGGCCTCCTCCTCGGCGGCCTCCTCCCGCCGCTGCCGCGCGTCGTCGAGGCGGTCCCGCTCCCGCTCCTTCTCGCGCTCGATCTCCTCCTTCAGCGATCGGTGCGGCGCCACGTTGTGGGGCGAGGCCAGCGGCGACACGAACCCGGCCTCGTCCGATGACGACGAGTCCTCCCGCCCCAGCTTCAACTTGGGCTCCTTCTGCGCGGCATACCCCCAAATTGTAGTCAGTCGACCCAAAACAAATACCAATATATCAAAAATAAATAAATAAATAATACATAAATGTAATAAAAATGGATTATAAATATAAATAAAGAATGTTTGAAGAAACAGAGAGGCGCATACGGCGAGCATGGCGGTGCCGTCCACGGGGCTCGATGGTATCAAAGGCCTGTTCGTGCGCACGAATGGCTCTGCATGGTTGGGGAGGGGGCGTAGCAAAGGTCAGCATCAGGCACACGGCACACGGCACACGGCACACGGGCAGGCCATTTGGGGGGCGGAGGGGAAGCCGAACCACCCTGCGAGGAGGAGCCCTCGATCAAAAATGTGTCGTCGTCGTCGTCCTCGCCATCGATTCGCAGCGGCCGTCGCTCGGTGTCGGCGGTGCTGCTCTCCGGCTCCATTTCGTCGGCCTTGTTGGCCCTGCTCCGCCCCGCGCTCCCGTCGTCGTCGCTGCTCCCGCTGCTTCGCTCCCCCTGCTTCCCTGCGTCGCTGTCGGCGCCCTCGTCGGAGGACTCCTTGGCCTTGCCGCCGCCGCCGCCGCCCTCGGTGTCGACATCGCTGGCTCCGGAGCTCAGGTGCAGCAGCCCGTCGGCGTCGGTGTCGGCGTCGACGGACGAACTTGGCGCCACGCCGTCGTCGTCGACAAAGGCCACCTTCTTCTTGGTGGCCTTGGGCTTCTTGAAGTGGGTCAGCACCTGCTCCAGCAGCAGCTTCGCCGTCACCAGGTCCACGGCCCCATTCACCGGAATCCGTGACGTCTCCTGCGTAAATCAACAAAAAAATCAAGTAATTAGTATTATTATTCTTTATAATTTAGTATTATTATTCTTTACCAAATAATAAATAAAGAAGGTGGGCGCACCTGGAAAGCCGATACGGAGAGGGCGGACTTCTCGCCGTAGTTTCCGTCCAAGGCCCCGGGAAAGAAGGAGATCAGGTGGAGCATCTCCTGAAGCAGCAGGACCTGATGGCCACGAGCGCAGTCGACATAATCAGGTGTGAGTTCTCAAAAACTGGACCACGACCCGACCCGACCAACGACACGACGCAGGAACGCGTACGCAGTCGCCGTTGAGTCCGATCTTGAACTCGCCCTTGTCGAGGTTCTCCATGAAGTCGGCGATGAGGATGTCCTTGCCGCTCTCCACCGTCTCCTCCCGCTCGCTCTCCTGCTTTCGCTTGTCGAGCTCCTTCTCCCGCTGCTCCTCGCGCCACTGCTCGATGCGCTCGTCCCACCGCTCCCCGCTGGCGTCCTTCGATGTCGCACGGCTGCTCTTCCGCCGAATGTTCTTCTTCCTCCGTCGGGTGCTGACGTCATCCTCTTCGGCGGTATTTGCGGCATGTGTGGCATTCGCCGTTGTGTTGCCCGCGGAGGGGTTCAACGACGACCGGCCGTTGTTGCCCAGAGGGCCGTTGTCGTCGGCGCCCACGAACAGGCGCTTGAAGGACTCCGACGACTGGTTGATCTTCTCCCGCTCCTTCTGCATCTGTCGCACGTTCTTCTCCTTCTCCAGCTCCTGCGCCTTGAGGCACACCTTGTCGTAGAGGCCCTCGCAGATCTCCGTGCTCAGTAGCCGAATGTTGTCCTGCGTGAACTTGCCGTCCCTAATAGCACAAGCCACATGACGCACACGACACACATACACACACCAGAGATAGAGAAGGGCGGTCAAAACCCGGTTGGGCACAAACAAGGAAAGGAACGGGAACGGCTGGTCAAGTACTCGTCCCAGGTCAGCTCTTCCGAGGCGGACACGAAGCCCTCGTCTCGGTCCCGCTCCCTGCAGAGCACCCACCGAGGTCAGACACGCCCATAGTGGTGGGGGGGGGGAATTGGTGGCCCATTGGTACCCGCTCTCTTGCGTTGAGAGGGTGCCCGACACCTGGGAGTAGTCCGCCGCAGGAATCACGGTCTCCTCCACTTCGCGTTCTGCAACAGTTCAACATTTCGAACCGCATGAGTGTCTCAAGCCAGGTCCACACGGACCACTGCAAAAACAAAATAAACAAAACAAAAACAAAAATAAAAAAGTACCATAGGGGTGGAAGGTGGCCCTGAAGTCGTTGATCAGCAGCAGCATGTCGCTGGGGTCAATGTCCGGCGCCTTGTTCTTGGAGTAGGTGGCCAGCAGCTTGGTGCCCACGAAGAGCAGGCCATGCGTGGCCAGTGGCTCCTGCTTGAGCGCGTTCTTGAGGGCCTTGAAGCATTCGCCTCGCGTTCGGTCGTCCACCTCGAGCCGCTCCGTTGCCTTTCGATAACAGAAAAAGCGAAAGCGAAAGCGAAAGTGAGCTCGGCCGCACCGCACCGCGCCACGTCGACACACGAAAGGTGGAAGGAAGGGACGACGCACTCGCACGAGCAGGGACTGCTGGCGATCAGAGAGCGCGCACAGAGTGTCGATGATGTGCTGGATCGTGAGCTTGTGTCGAGAGAAAGTGCTGTGAAGGAAGTCACGACACACGGTGGTCAGCACCAGATCGGGCACAACACTGGAGCTCAGTCAAGACGTAGAGCGAGAGAGAGAGAGAGAGGAGAGAGCAGCGTGCACACACCTGTACTTGCCCTCTTCGATGGCTTGCCTGCCGAACACCATCACCATGTGCTCGAATATCTGGACATGCGACATGCCATCGAATGGGGTGTGTCATGCCAAGACCTCGCACACAGCAGAACACGTGCGAGAAGGCAAAGGCGGGTTACCTGACGCAGGAGGCTGCGCAGAAACATCTCTGACTCGCCTTGATCGCTGACGACGAGGTAGCTCAGCTTTTCGTACTGCATTAATTGAATGAAAAAGAAGTGAGAAAGCAGAAGGGCTGAGAATTGGGGTGATTGTGAGGCAGAGAGGGATCCCACCTTCTGGAAGACGAAGAGGGTGTGGCCGCAAGTCATGGATTTGAAGCGCTGGCCGAGGTTTTCCTTCATCATGATGTGTGTATTCACAAGCACGAGGCTCAGCAGGCGTCCATCCTTGTGGTCGTAGTAGATGGGGTTGCCGCCCTCATCCGAGATTATGAAGTAGCGCATTGCTCCCCTGCGCTCTGATGCTGTAATCGCCCCCTTGCGCCAAATTAAATGTCCTCCGTTTTAAATCACGATTGTCGTCCTGGTCTCGGTCTTCCTTGTGGGCTCGGGCGCGTCTTCCCTCACTGCTGGGCCAAGCTGGTGCTGGAAGGTTAATCCTCTACAACAAGGCAGAAGCGGCTCTTTGTTGCAAATCAACGCGCAGCTTTCGTGCTCTTGGTGTAAAAGGCGAAAATAATAAAAAAAACAATACGGGCACCAAACATACATCAATTAATTCATAAAGATGTCGCAGGAGAAAGGTAGAGCACGCTACCACCAGGAGCCCCTCTTCCGCCCGGAGGGTCCCGAGTTCGAGCCCATCCCGCTCGAGAAGCGAAAGGCTTTCCAGTTCCGCCGCGGCCCCACTGGTACCCCCCCCCCATTCGGCTTTTAGCCTCGATTAATCGTTGAGGTCCTGCTCGGTTGTTGCATTCGTTGCCCCTTTGTGCCATTGCTATGAAAAATGGGAAGATTAATTGGATGCTGTGCAGGCAAGGCCCTGTACGCCGCTTACTTTGGTGTGCTCGTGGCGGGCCACTACGTCTATGCTACCGGTGCCTGGGAGCAACGCGATCTCTACGCTGAGCGCCAGAACGTGTGGGGCAGCGTGACCACTTACCTCCAGGCCGAGGCGGACAGGAAGTACGCCCCCCCCCTCGCGATTATATCAGATTTTAATCTTCTTTGAAGTCAACCGCACTACATCGCTTTGCCAATCGAAAGCCGTGTACTTACGACTGGGGCTGCTTGCAGGTACCTGCAGACGCGCAAGCGGAGCACTGACGCTGAGGAGAAGCTGCTCTTCCCCAAGGAGGTCAGCGAGGGCAAGAGGCAGCTCAACCACGAGGAGGCTCAGTACAAGTATGGCAGCAACGCCCCTTCTCTGCCCCTGTTTCCTCTCGCTGTCAGTGAAGCTGATGATGCCTCTTTTCTTCTCCTTCACCGCATCGCCCCTATAGGACGAGGTGGGTGCGTCCCGCCACGGATCCCTTCCAGCAGTGGCACTACGTCAAGAGGACCTTTGACAAGGCCCAAGAGTGACCATCGGCAGCACACTGTGCAGGTAACCTGCTCCTTCACTTCCACGATCGCGGGCTTGTGCAAGCCTCATCTCCTTTTGGGTGCGCTGATCGTCTTGTCTTCGTTGGCTCTTTCACTACTCGCTACTGCAGGAGAATGAAGAGGAACTCGCTTGCCTCATCACGTTCCTTGTTCTGTTGTTGTTGTTGCGTGACGCAACCCATAACACGGCATTGTTTATACCCCTCACTCGTGATGAAACCCTTCGAAGCAAGTTTGCAGCACTTCCTAACGAAAGAAGAAGGCGAAGGCGAGACGAGAAGCGACTATGGACAACTAACAGGTGTGGATGTGTCTGAGGGGGAAGGGTTGATTACATGAAAGAGACTCTAAAAGTTGGTGCCCTCAGGAGGCTGCGAGAGCTTCCTGTTCTGCGCAGAAGTCATCTCGTTGCGCAGGCCCACAAGTATCGTCTCGATGCTGTACTCCTCCTTCCACTGCGCCAGAATGGCGAAGCCACGAGGATCAACCTGCAGATGAAGATTTGAGCAAATTGCACCGCGCGCGGCAAGGTCGCCAAGCAACGTGCATGTGATGGTGGCATACCGTGCCGTTGGACTGGTTGACGCAGGCCATGTTTACGCGAGACACGAATTTCACAAGAGGGGGCCTCTGGGGATACTCGTTGCCGCAGTTGATGTGAACGGTGTAGATGCGGCCCTCGTGAACAGACTGCATCGGCCCAGATTAAGAGGCGAAAAGAACGCGACGCAGTAAAAGGAGGAGGGGAATACGTTAGGCGGGCCGATGATGGTGCCAGCCCAGCTGGAGAGCATGCTGTCATCGGGATCAGCGAGACCATAGCTCACAGCACCGTCACCGACGCCCTTTTCGCCCTTCTCCAGCTCCTCAAGAAGCTTGAAGTTGCGGGGGACTACGGTGGCCAGCGAGGAAATCGATCAATTACTCCAACCGCGTTTGATCTTAAGATAAGGCCATGGGCAGGAACTGGTGGGGTGGTACGCACTCTTGATGCCAGCCTTCGCCATTGTGTTGTGTTCTAAAATTGATGGATTGGCCCCTGCAAAAATATGCTCACCGAAATGGCCAACTCGAAGGAATACGCAGCGCTGGAATGTGGAGCGAAATTCGATTCGCCGGCGTGCCAGTTATTAATGTCGACATCGGTTTCTGCTGGCGCGCTGCGCCGGTCGTGTCTTCGTCTTGCAGCATCCAGCGGATTGAAATCAAATCAACATGCGCAGGGGTCTTTCTACCGTTTCCAGGAGCGCCACCGGTAAGCGTCAAGATCTTTATTCGCCCACTCCCCTCCCTCGCGCAGCAGGGATCAATCACACTGGGATCAATGGGGTTACGTCTAAAGTTTTGCTTGTTATTGCCTTAGTGTTCGGCAAGCAGGCGTGCCTCGCCTCCTCCACCCTCAGGGTTGACCGCAGGGCCTACGCTACCTCGCCTGTACGATTAATGCCAACCACTGGTCCGTTGAAGCGTTAGGCTCACTAGAAAATTTGCTACACATTAGGAGGATGCCGCCCTTGAGGCTCAGATCGAGAAGGTCCTCGACCTCGTCAAGAAGCAGGGCAACCTCGTACGATTTCCCTTAATTCTCCGAAACTGGCGGCACATGCGGCTTGGATCGTCATGGTTCGCTCATGGGTTAAATCCACCACGCGCAGGGCTCTGAGAAGCTCACCGTGAGGAAGCTCACTGAGCTCAGGCAGACCGTGCCCGAGATTGATCGCGCTCTCAGCAGCGTTGGCGACTCGGCCGTCAAGTACATGGCCGAGCTCGAGAAGCCCGGTGCTGGCCCCCTCTCCGCCGTGCCCCCCGTGCGCGTCACCGTCACTGGTGCCGCCGGCGCCATCGGCTACGCCATGCTCTTCCGCATTGCCAGGTACAATGCGTTTCACCATTGGCAATCATCGCTTCTTCGATGTCGCTAAATCACACATTTGACGTGTAGCGGTGAGATGCTGGGCAAGCACCAGCCCGTCATCCTGCAGCTCCTCGAGCTTGAGCCCGCCATGAAGGCCCTTGAGGGTGTCATCATGGAGCTCAAGGACTGCGCTTTCCCCCTGCTCCACGGCGTCACCGCCTCGAGCGACGTCAACAAGGCCTTCGAGGGTGCTGATTTCGCCATGCTCGTTGGTGCCAAGCCCCGCACCAAGGGTATGGAGCGCGGCGACCTCCTCAAGGAGAACGCCAACATCTTCTCGTCCAGGGCAAGGTACCAATCGCAATTGGTGTCAATTTACAGCTCGAGGGGGGCGGAGCTTTCATATTCTGCACTTACCATTTCTGACATACATTGCAATCATTAGGCTCTCAACAAGGTGGCCAACCGCGACACTCTCCGCGTTTGCGTTGTCGGCAACCCTGGTACGTCACACTCGCAAAGTGAATGAATCTTGAGCAACGAATGTAATCTAATCCCTCTATTTTTGCGAAACAGCCAACACCAACGCCTTGATTGCCTCGGCCAACGCCCCCAACATCCACCCCCGCAGATTCACCGCCATGACCAGGCTGGACCACAACCGCGGCATTGCGCAGCTCGCTGATAAGCTGAAGTGCAAGGTCACCGACATTGAGCGCTTCGCCATCTGGGGTAACCACTCGGCCACCCAGTACCCCGACATCTCCCACACTCAGATCAACGGCAAGTGGGCGAAGGACCTCGTCGACGAGAAGTGGGTCAAGGACACCTTCATCCCCGACGTGCAGCAGCGTGGCGCTGCCATCATCGCCGCCCGCGGTTCCTCGTCCGCCGCCTCGGCCGCCAACGCCGCCATTGAGCACATGCGCGATTGGGTCAAGGGCACCAACGGCCAGTGGACCTCCATGGGCGTCTGGACCGGCAACGGCAAGGTCGGCGACTACGGCACCAGCCCCGACATCTACTACTCGTTCCCCGTGGTCTGCGCCGACGGCGAGTACACCATCGTCCAGAACGTCCCCGTCGACAAGTTCTCCGCCGAGAGGATGCAGAAGACCGTACGCGCTCCTCCCCGTGAACCAAACACTCCCGTAGTGTCACTAACAAAAACAACCGACAATCAACAACCACAGAACGACGAGCTTGTCTCGGAGAAGAACGGCGTCGGCGAGTTGGCCAAGAGGACGACTGACCCCGCTGCCCTCCTCAAGGAGCAGTACAAGGGCGGCAAGCAGTAAACACAAAGCGGAACGATGCGTCCCTCTCCACATCCAGCCCCGAAATACCCTTGCTCCCCCCTCTTCAAGCCAGCTGTCTTTCCAGGCCAGCTGTCGTATGTCTATTCCCCCCCAACTCAACAAACTTTATCATCACACACGCGCGTCCACCTCTTCTTCTTCGTCTTCTCTTTATGATCCGTTTTATCGTTTTTTTACTGCGCGGGCTGAGGTTGGGCGGCGTCGATCTTAGCGAGGATGTGCGGCAGGAAGTGGCGGCCGTACCTCTGCTGCAGCTCCGGCAGCTTCCAGTCGTCGCCCGTCACCGTCCCGCGGCACTGGGATACACCACACGAACGCGCGGTCAGTCGCGGGAGCGCGTGTTGTGTGCGGTTCGGTCGTAGGAGCGCGCGTGTTGTGTGCGGTTAGGATCGGGGGAAAGAGACGACGAGCGCTACCTTGGATGTGCCGCAGCGGCAGTTGAGCCTGAACGCCTCGTGACATTCGGTGAGGGCGTAGTCGTAGGCGATCTCCTCGCCCTTCTTGATGTCGCGCAGCGCCACCAGCTCGTTGTCGCTCTGTGCGTGCCACGCAGTCGTGTCAGCAAGCCCGCTCCCACCTCCAGCAACACATTCGCTCTGCTGTTATTCATCAATGTTGTTGATTCGGTGAGAGAAGAAGCTCGTACAATGTACCAGGCGTTGCCGTCGCAGGTGTGGTTGACGTAGTTCTCCTGGATCGCCTTCTTGCCCTCCTCGTCCAGCTCAACTACTCGCCCGCACCACCATCATCAATCCCACCATCATCAACCCCACCACCATCCGGGTCCCTGTAAAGTGAGAAGCTGCAGGGTGCTCGGTAGCGTGGCGCTACACGAATCTAAAATGTGGTGGGGCACCATCACTGGGGAAGCCATGGAAGAGGTCGTCCCCGCACTGGTAGCCGAGCTCCCAGAACTGGTCCTGCTTCTCCTGTGGCCACGACTTGATCGTCTCCATGTTGACAAAAATGCCCGGCTGCGAGTCCTACTTGACCGCACCACAGCATTGCCTGAGACACACGCACCAACCACACAATTTTTCCCTACTTTCTGCTTGAAGGGAGGTCGTCACCTTGTCTTCAAGCCACGACTCCATGAACCAGATGACCTCCCCCTCCTTGATGTCCTCGGCCGCAAACCACCCTAACCCCGGCACGCAACCATTACAATAAAAAAGAAAAATAAATATAAAAATGTAAACGTAAATAAAAATAAAGATTGCACCACGGCCCGCCACTTCCTTGTCCAGAGCAGTACCGTTGCCGTGGATGGCGCCTTCGGTGGACACTCTCACTTTGGGACTAAGGGGCATTGGGGCACGAAGGGATGATAAGGTTGCGTCAGGAAGAAAAGAAAATGTGAGCCTGCTTGTTCTTCGTCTTCTTTTTCTTTCGCGGCGTTGCCACCAACCATTTTTTGTCTCAAGTGAGACAACAAGCACTGGAAAAAGTTATGTATGAGGACGACGTGACTTGAACACGCAACCTTCTGATCTGGAGTCAGACGCTCTACCAATTGAACTACGCCCCCCGTGGTATTTTCCGCTTGCTAGTTTGCCAAGTTGAGAGGACAAATACAACAGGACTGAACAGGGCTGGTTGATTTGTGCCCCGGAGTTGTTTTATGTGCATGCCACCTGTGGGTGGTTTTCTTTTTTTGGTGTATTCGTGTTTCTGAAACTTGTGGTGGAGGTGCAAAAGCTTGTGTACTGTTGCACACCCTAATTTTCTGTTGCACACCAGGATTTTTTCTACACAGTGGGTGAGAGTTCACCCAAAAGTGCACCTCTGCCCTTGGAATTTCAGAAACAATATTCCTATGCTCAATTCCTGCGCCAGGAGTGTGACCTAGCTGTCATGCCAGGATGTGGTTGCTTGACTATCAGAAAACCAATACAATGAATTAAAAGAGGGTAGACAGCACTAAGTTCAAGCAGAGCAAGCAAATTGAAGATGGAGCAAGGTTCATCAAGGGTGGGGAGCAAAAAGAGTAGGATGGCGCCAATGGGAATCGAACCCATGATCTCTCCCTTACTAGGGGAGCGCGGTGCCGACTGCGCCATGGCGCCCCAATCCTGCTACATCTGGTTGCTGAGGTTTTGTCAAGTTCTCACTGGACATAAACTGGCACCTTGTGATGACCTGGTCCAATTTTTATCAGATTGCAGGAATAATACCTCATATTTTTTTTACAACCAAGCATGCTGGTTCATGTTCAGATTTATGAGGCATGTAGCCAATGATTGACCTACCTGTCCTACAGAGTTGTGCTCCTTCCTCCCCTTGCACATCAATGTTAACCTTGGCCTGCCCTTGCAACAGGAGATTGTTTGTGCTGGTGTTGCCAAGGAGGAGCTTGAGCATCACATTCATCATGTGCAGTGTGCATGGGATGATCTGCTGAAGTGGGAGGTGAATCAAGCACCAATATTGCATGCCATAGTTCTTCCATGCCTGGATAAAGCCTCCCATCTGTTTGTGCAGAGCTAGATACTTTATCATTTCCACATGTCTGTGGTTTTAGGTGTACCTCATCCTCTGGCCAGTTCCATTTTTCCTCACACTGGAGTGGCCACTCCTCAATGTCCAAGTCACCAATACCATCATCACCACACGTTGTGCCCTGGCAGTGAGAGCAACAAATTTCAAATTTAAAAACCACTAGAGAGCAAAGCCAATCAAATTACTGGCGACAAATAAAGCAATTTTCTTTTACAACGCGGCACACCAGGTCAAACTCACCACTACTGAAGGTTGTTGCACACGCAAGGCATGACCATAGAGTGGAGCCAGGACGAACGGAGGGTGTTTTCGTTATGCAGCTTCGTCTCGAGCCTCCTGTCCCTCGTCGGCAGCATCTTCATCTTCATCTCCTTTCTGGCCTTCTTCAAATCGCGTTGGAAACAAATCACCCACCGCCTGGTCCTCTCCCTCTCGCTCTGCCACCTCCTCCTTTCCGTCTGCTGGCTCATCGGGGGACCCCTGGACGAGGTCTCCGCCGTCACATGCCAGGTCCTCGCCCCGCTCCGCTACTATCTCTTCCTCGCCTCCTTCCTCTGGACCTCCGTCATCGCCACCGGTACTTCTTTGCCCATAATAATAATATATCACTTATTATTATTCTTATTAGTTATTCAATTAAATAAAGAGGCAATTTTAATTTATTCTTAAAATAAACAAATAGAATTATTTGTTAAAGGCCATAAGTTAGAACCTACGTCTTGACATTGTCTTTTTTTAAACAATTATTAAATGAAAATCATTATGTCACTCTCCTGTTTGGGCAGAGATGCTGTCAATGTGGTACCGGGCGCGGGTGAACCAGTTCGGCGAGCTGGTCATTCCCCAGCCCTCCTCCGTGCGCCAAGGTACCTCCCTGGCGGGGCCTCGTCTGGAGCGTCTCCCCGGCTCTTGCTCGCGCACCAAGCTTGGTCCTCACGCAACCAACCAACCAACCAACGACCAACAACGACAGAGTTGTGCTACCACATCGCCGCCTGGGGCATCCCTCTCGCCATCACGATCTGGCCCACCATCTTCCACCACCAGGAGCACGGCCTGTGGCAGTACGACACACAACGCACACCGCACACACCGCACACACGCACCGCACACGCACACGCACACGCATACGTCGCACACACTGCGCACAGCGTCGTTTCGTTGATGGGCCACGCCTGATGGGTAGGTGTTGGTTTGAGGACGACTACTGGACGTTCCTGTTCCTCGGGTTCGTTGCGCTGTCGTGCCTGTACTGCCTGGGCGTCTACTGCCTCGCGCTGTTCAAATACCGAACCCGATTATACGAAGCGGGTACGCCAACCGCACGACACACACGACACACACACGACACACGACGCGCGAGTGTCCCCATATTTCTCACGGTGCGTGTGCGGTGGTGTGTGCGTGTGCATGTGTGCGGTCATGTTGCATGGTACGCGCAGGTACGTATTCGGACATCCAGAGGTCCAAGCGAACCGAAATCAAGTTTCGCGTCACCGGATACCTGCTTGCTTTCCTCATCACATGGGTACTAACTACATCGCAAGAAATCGGTGTGTGCGGTGTGTGCGGTGTGTGCGGTGTATGGCTGACCCCACTCGAACGCGCGCGTGTGGTGTGTGTGTGTGTGTGTTTAGATTCCTCTGGCGGTGCTGCAGATCATGGAGACGGTGGACAGCACGCGCTCGGCGCCGATGTTCGTGTTCACCGTGATCTCGGCCTCGCTAGTGCCGCTCACCGGCTTCCTCGATTCGATCATCTACGGCTGGGACCGCACATTGTGGGAGTCCCTCGTCGCCTGTCTCACCTGCAGCCGCCGCCGACGAAACCGATCGCGCAGCCGCGCACTCCTCGGCGCTGGCGGCGGCCGCAACGGCAGGAGCACCTCGGTCAACGGCGTGGCCGCCGCCGGTGGTGACAACCACCACCAGTACGGGGCAGCCCGGGAGGAGTCAACCCTTGCCTTCTCCGACAGCGACTGAGGTCCGTGGCCCCCAGACGCCGTTATCTCTCGTAAGGCCGGCATATGCCGCGATTGGGTGTTGTACAATAAAAAATTCACCATTTTCTCCGACATGTTCATAACTTATTTTTTTTTATATTGTCATTCTCCGGTGACCACAACAAGCTGCTGACCCGAGCACACAACAAAACATGACCTCCTTTGCTCACGTCGTGTTGTTTGGCATCTTCATCTTTTTCGCGACTGTCGCTTGTGGCGCCGACGCGGTCGCTCAATCTCTCGACACACATCTTTCATCTTCATCTTCTTCATCTCCATCTTCTTTTGGACTGTCGCCGGCGGAGGTGGCCCAGCGACTGAACCTCACGCGCCAGCCCCTGGGCAACTACTTCCGGGCCACGTGGGAGAGCGACGGCGTCGAGGTGCCCACCTCGGTCCTGCCCCCGCGCTTCCGCGCCGGCCCTTCCCGCACCCGCTTCGTGAGCAGCGCCATCTACAACCTCTTCGCCGGCGCCGACTGTGTGGTGCCGCTCCACCGCCTCGCCGCCGACGAGGTCTGGCACGCCTACGGCCTCGGCAACGCCTGCATCACGCTCG